AAAAATTTTTTTTTTTTTTAAAAAATATTTTTTTTTTTTTTTTTTTTTTTTTACTTTTTGGCAATGGAAACAAATTTTATAACCAATTGTGGAAAAAATTATCACTTTAATAGACACTTTCCATGTAAAATAAAGCCACACGAATAGAAAATTTAAAAATTTTTCAGGTGGAAAATTATACCAATCAAACACACTTAATTATCAATTCCCTACAAAATATTTTTTAGACAATTATTTTCCCTGAAAATTATTTTCTTTTCACTGATTTTCCACCTTTGCAATCAAACGCACCCTAAGTTATTTTGTCAAGAAATATTGACATCCTATTTTTGACGATGTATTGGTAGTCCAACGACAAAATGCGACCTTCTGACGACATAGCATGGTTGATTATGAATGAATGATATGGAAGTCTGAAAACAGATCTGCTGAAATACCGTTCAGACAAGACAATTCACAGAGATTCAGACAACGATTTCCCATATAGAAGCTGAAGAACTACTAAACCCTGAAATCAGTGGACGTGTGCTCAATTCACTACATAAATAGATATTCTAACACTTCTCCATTTACCCTTGCCTTTCGATATGTGGTCGTAAGTGCAAGATCCAAAATCATGGAAGAAGTTTGGAATGATATTAATCTTGTTTCTCTTAATGACCACCCCACAGATTTCCGTGGAATGATCCTTCAGGATTTCTTGTCCAGACCCTGTACTGAAAAAGATTCAGTACACAGTGCTAGTGTCTCTTCGGTTTTTGCCTCTCCAACACGGCCACCTCCGACCACGATGCTCACCTTGAACTCAAGACCTGAACCGTTGCATTTCTTGGGAAACTCAGATCTTCTTAACCTAAGCTCTAATTCACTGCCTCAGAGTCTGACTATTTCTCCTGCGTGTTGTGTCAACGCGGCTTCAGAGAGTCATGGGAAGAAGAGGTTCACAGAGACTGACAGCAATCACGCCGGTGATCGACAGCACAAGCGCATGGTCAAGAACCGGGAGTCAGCTGCTCGATCAAGGGCTAGAAAGCAGGAAAGTCTCTTTTTATTACTTCTTTTATCTGCCTTTTAATTAACATTTTCTGGTGGTTACTAAGATCAGCTGTAGCCTTTTGTTAGCTTTAGCTGTGAGGTCATTTTCTAGAAAAAAATTGTAGGTCGCTTGAAATTTCTAGTAGCAAATTTTTACCTGGATTCGAATACTTTTTTCTGTGGGTATTCTGTGGTCCTACATCATCTCTTGTTTCTTATTCATTCGACTTTATTGTAGGCTTATACGAATGAGTTAGAGCTACAAATGGCCCACCTGCTGGAAGAGAATGCCAGGCTCAGGAAACAACAACAGGCATATATATATATATATATATCCATCATTTTATATATAGTAGTTTATAGTAGAAAACCCCCTACCCTCAATCTCACTACAATTTGTTTTGAATAATGCTATCCATAAGATGAACGATGGTCTATGTAGCCGTAGAATTAGAATCTATCATATTCTTCAATGAATAAAAATGTATTTCAACTTCATTTGAAAATACTGATGGTATAATCATTGCTATGTGTTGCATTACTGGTTTTGTATATTACATAATCCTAATCGAGCGTTTTGTATTTGGATTATGGCAGTTATATCTAGCAGAAGCTGCTCATGTTCCCACGAAGCGCTCTCTCTGTCGAACATCATCCGCTCCATCTTGACATAGAATGATATCTTCCAGAAGGTCATTTCTAGTTAAGGATTGTACTGTTTTGTTTGGTGGTCTTGTAAAATGTTTAATATCTCAACCAGAATTTGTCAATACCAAGATGCTCGGTTGGTTCTGTAAGGTGGTCGAGGTGGGGTTGGTGACTGAGTACGCCCACGGTGATATTAGCAAGTTAGTTTTTCTATTCAAGTTTTTGCTTGTCCAAAGTCCAAACAAGCAGAGCGGAGATGTGGTTGGGTGTTCTCTGTGCTTGCTTGTTTTGGACTCCATCTATCTTTCCTGGTTTTTTTAACTCTCAGTGTAAGGAAAAGAACAGATGTAGGCAGGAGAAGACACTGTCGCAGGAATATATTTGTACAACGTAGTATGGTATGAAGATTGAGCGAATATTGGCACTAACCATGATGTATTTTTCCCCCAAAAAAACCTATTGTACAGTGTTTAGAGGGCTGTAAATTTTACAGCCCTCTAAACACTGTAGATATAGTGCAGTTCCTTTTTCCCTCGGTCATTATTTTCATAGATGTGGATTCACCTTTTGTTGCATTACCGTGTCTACGTGGGCATGCTTGATATTTCTAACTTTTTCCCTTTTTACCTATAATTAGTGAAGAGAACATGCGTTGCACGTTAGTTGATTATTGTCGACAAAATAAAAATGATTTTATTTTGGAATTGATGTTGGTTGATGGTTTCCTTCATCTGATGAAGTACGAATGAGTTATTTTTTTCTGAAGTTTCCAACAACAATCAACTTCCCATTTGATACAACCTATCAATCATCCAACAACAATTAATAGGCAAATAACACTGCGCAATGAACCAAGATTTTAGTTATTTGACTGACTATAAGCTTAAAATAAATTATTAGCACATGTTCCAATATTCCAATATTGGTAGCATTATATATATATGTATATCGTGCACGAAGGTCTCCATGCTCACATGGAGGCCGATGAAAGTAGCTAGACATTTTGTATGCATTGAGGATTGAGATATTACACCATTTGATAGAGAAATGCCAACAAGACTACACATTAATGTCTTTCCAAATGGTAAATCAAGATTATATCATAACTCAACTATGAAATCATAGATATGAAGTATTGAATACAACCGAAAATGCACAATCAAGTTAACAAAGACCGTAAGAAGTAAATCGACAGAAAAGCACTGGAATATACTTGAATTTATGCTAGGGCGGCTCCTCTACAGCGACGGAGTCATCTGTATTGGAATTCTTGGAGTCATCATATTGCTGTTAATATTATCATTGATGTTAGTGTCGTTATTGTCTTTCTTTTAGATTGGAGTTTACTAGTAGAGCAAGAGGTGGGATGAGCCATTAACGATGTGTTCGTTGCCATTTGGTTGGAATTGGAGGATGGCACATTGACCCAATTTTTCTTCCACTTACAGACTGGCCCCATGTAGATGGTGGCACTGGTGGAGACCTACCTAAATGTGAATATTGAAACACAAAATAATCTAAAAATTACAAAAATGACTATTGAAGTCTGAAGACATGGGATTTCAAGATATTTACCTTGACCTCAAGAGCACACTAGCAATTTATTCATCTCCTCTAGACTATTTTCAGGGGCATTGTATGAATTCTCAAAACTAGGGCGGTTAGTGGGTCAGTTCGGTTCGGTTCTGAAGAGACCCGAACCGATCCAAAACTTTCGGGTATTTAATAAATGGACCCGTCGGGTCCAAATATAATTATGGAACCGTTTGGGTTCGGTTTCGTTCAGTTCGATTCGGGTCGGTTCGATTTCGTTCGGTTCCGTACCATAATCAATTTTTTTAATATTTACAGCAACACTACATAAATACAACTAATGACATTTCATTCGTAACTTTTACAAATTAACGTAGCCCAATTCAAAAACATATAAATAACTAGCCGTCCAATAAGATTAATTCAATGCATACAAATACCAAAAAGTAGATATTAATATTACAGCAACACTACATAAA